CCCCAAAACCCCAAAACCCCATGAATCATTTATATAATCAAAAAAGTAATATTTTTAATATTTTTACATCCATTATTTATTTCAAAACAATCCAGCTCCCAGAGGAAATGTCTTTTTGATATTCTATTATTCATTTGTTTTCCTTAATTGCTCCATAATCTTCTTTAACTTACTCTTTCCACATTCCATATCTTTTTTCCTTATATTTGGATCCTCTATTCTTTCAGGCCTCCTTACAAAGTCAAATGCCATTCTCTCAGGGAGTAGCACACCATATCTTGATTGATTAAAACCACGCCCTGCTCTCAATTTATCTGGAACTCCATTTATTCCTTAATTTTTTTAGTATTTCTTATTTTTATTCTTCCTTTAATTACTGTTTTCGGTGTCATCATCTTCATCTTCTTAATCGTCATCATCTTCTTCCTCTTTTTCTAGATCCTAATTTTCTTTGACAATTTTCCTTTATTTAATCATTCTTTACTAATACTACTTATAAGATTCATCATGATCTCCATCACCATCATAGCTCTATTTGATATTGTAGATAAATCTGCACCATTTTTCAATAATACTTTTAGCCTATCTTTGAATAGTAAGGGATGTCTTTGCGATACCCTCAGCATAGTACTAAATAATCTGCCCTAACCCAGATTGATCAAGATGATCTACTTCTAATCTTAATCCATCAATGCAATTAAGCATTCCTTCAACTAGATTAACATTTGGAAATGTACCATCTGGCATCATATCTAACCAATCAGCAAGTATCTTACAGCCTCCTTAATCTAAGAACTTCTCTTAAATGGGCATTTTCCTCAGCTGATTATAGCATTGTTAAGCTATGACAAGTCTTGAAATTGCAGGCTTTTTATTTCTATTTGCTTCTCGATCCTTATCCACAGCCTCTTACATTTTCCTGAGTAGGTTATCAACTGATGAACCTAAATCTCCATCATCTTCGTTATTTTTCCTTCAACTAACTCTTAATGATTCTTAATTCTTTATTCTCTCATATACTTCCTTACCAGCTTGAGTCAAGTTCTTTAACTTTTCTTATTCTTTCATCTCTTCTTCTAGCTTTCTTTGGATCTTTTCCTCTCTTTTATTTTTTCCTTTTTCATTTTTAAACTCAATTCTTTTCTTGCCCTCTATTTTTGTGATAGCATCTTGGTTTGACAAGTCAATATGGTGCTATATTTTTTATTTTTTCAGCTACTGAGCAGCTTGCTCTTAATCTTCCTAAACATTACCATTTATTTGGCTTGAATCCTGCTTGCCATCAACACATTCATTATTTTCAGCTTCTTTTTCTTGTAAAAGTCTAACTTCTTCCTCTAGACGCCGTAACTCCTCATTTTCATCTTCCAGTTCTTCATTATTGTCTTCAGCTTACTCTAATTCTTTCCTATTTCTGCTACCTTTCTTTTAATCGTTATCTTCATCTTCATCTTTAGTTCTAATATTTTGATCTTATTCAGACTCATCCTTCACTTGGGCTTCATAGTCCACTGGCCTCCTATGCTTCTTATTTTTCTTAGATTTTTTGGACTTTTTCGAGTCTTTCTTATTTTTCTTACTTTTAGATTTTCTTTCTGTTTGCTATTCTATATTCTACTCACTTTCTTCTTTAACCATTATAAGGGAGTCTTCTCGTAATTCCTTGCTGGATTTTTTATTTTTCCTCTTCTTCTCTGATTTAAAATTAAAAACCTCTTCAACCTAGTCTGAATCATTTTAGTTATCATGGTCTGTATTGCAATCTTCCTCATCTATATTTTAAAGGTCACCGTTAGTGGGCGACATTTTTTAAGCCTCTCTTCTACTAGTATTAAGCTATTTACCTTTCACACGCATTTCAAAGTGCTATTGAGTTATC